TTTCCAACCTCCCTCTCTGGAGGAGGCCAGTTAGCTGAGATTTTACCTGGGCGGTATAAACTGCGTTGGAGCTCAGTGTTCTCCTGAATCAAAGTAGTACTGTACATCTTCTCCAGATAGCTCAACGATACACTGAACTTTCGCTGTGTTGAGAAGACACCTCATTACTTGTTCCGGGCCAGTTAGAAGGAAGTAGGAAAAATGACTCGAAAACCTGCTACAGGACTAATGATAAGATAGGTCGTTACGTTCTCGAGGCATTCCTCAGGCAAACTGCTGTTTATTCCGTCAACTCCCGGGCTCTAAAGTACAGCTGACGAAGCAATGGAGTGGGGAGGAGAGAACCGCTGGTACTGTATCGTCTCATTCTACGTTGCGCCGCGCATTCCACTTGCATTCAGAATCGCGCTGGTATACTTGGGGCAATTTTGTCTATACAACGAATTGTGGAGCTTAGACGATGTTAAGGTCAGTGCTTCGTGTTACAGATTGACCTAGTACCAAGCAGCTGGGCTGGGATAATAAAACCTTCGGTAGACCTGACTAAACAGCCCCTCATGACTGTGCGTGTCCTAGGAGCTCACTCAGTCAATTTTATTGTGCTATTTTATATGAGTTGAGCAAAACTGGTGCCCTTCAGGGTCAGCCAGCTGTAAGAAGCATGGCTCTAGGAGCCTCGACTCTGTCCCGTTGCATTGTGTGATGTCGTTAAGAGGTAGTCTGTCTGAAGATAGATTTAACTTTCATACCTGATTGACCGGCGTCCATTCCTGCGTGTGTACCTTCGGAGCGACTCCGATTTCCGGTGTAACTTCTTCGGGGAACTCGTTCCATTTCACCTTGTGGTATGACTGAGGTTTGTTAACGATCACGGTCTTCTGAAAGGTAGTCAGAACATTACTGTGCATTGGTTACTGGTCTGTCTATTGAGTCTGGGGTACTCGAATTCAAGATTATATTTCCAGTAAGAAATAAGCCTAGTTATCAACAACGTGGCAATCAGCCTATTATCATAGTAACGTGAGTTTTTCGCAAGGCCAGCTTCACATAGCAGTCCAGATTCTGGGATCACGTATACCATCGTTGTGGAACCCACATCGGAGGAGGATATTCGTCAGCTGGACGCTTTTAGACCAGAAATATTTTTTTCGTTTTGATCTTTGCAGGTTCATGTTCGAAATCGCAATGGTTCAGTCTTGCTATACCAGTTAAGAGCTCATCAGATAATTACGTATCTCCCACCCCGCTCGACGGGTATTGGATGGGAGGGGGTGATATTAAAGTGAATATTCCTCACTCCTCTTTCCTGGTACCTGAGGTCTGCTTTCCCGTCGCGTAGCGCTACCCTGGTTTGACTGCATTTTTCACAGATTCTTCTTTCAATTTGCTAATATGTGGGAATAATATTGGAAACTGTGATTTTGGTTCACATTCATTAAAAATGAGAGATCCACTGAAGACACATTCCCCAGAGAGCTATTCCCCAAATTTATTGGTAACAGTTTACAAGTGGTGTAAGTAGCCGTCAGAACTTTAAACTCAGTTATCGATCGCCCTGTGATATAATGCACTCACATGAACTTCATGAAGATCGTTGAATTCTGGAATCGAGATCTTTCCTATTTGTGGTGGCTGGACCTCGGGCGGAACGCGATGTTGTGTCTGCCAACAGGCATCATCCTGAAACAAAAGGTTGCAATTTATTGAAATGATTCTGGGAAAAAATCCCTTTGACTCTTGAAATAAGTAGCATTCTTGGGTTTCATATTTTTTGAAAAATTATATGGAAACTCCTCTTTCAGTTTCCCTCTCTCTTCCTAGGAGATTCCGTAACCACCGACTTCATGAGCGTCTAAATAACTGTAGCACAGCCACTATGATGCGGTTAGCTATTAGTTGTACGTATGTATGTAACACATTTTCTATGGTATAGGGTACATTCTGAAATGTCGCGGAAACGCAAGGCAAAATTTCTGGATACAGCAACAGCTTTTCAGTTTTTTCGGAATCTCTGGCCTTCTAATTGGTTTTCAAGTAATTCGTGCTCAATATCCGGCACTCAGGCAGGTAAGACTGAAAAAAACGCAAAAGGAAAGCTACGGAAAAACAGTAGCGGAGGCGAAGGTGCGCTCTATTAACGGATGAGTTCGTTCCCCGAAAACAGATTAGTTGATATATACAGTCCTCATCATTGCTTA